TAGCACATTTCATTGCCATGTAGGACTAAGTAAGCACCTATATAACACATTTCAATGTGTCGCAAGCGTAGAAAGTAATAAAACAGAGATCCAGAACAATAACACTAACAACAAAAACAAAGTTTTTTCAAACACTAATATTCAGTGGAAACCAGAATTTTAAAGGCAGAGAATGAAAGACACAATAACAAAGTATATTGAGCGAATAAATTACAAGGCTTCATGGCGAACTTGCTGAGGCATAGTATCGTTCCGTATAGCATCGAATAACTGTTTCCGATCCATCAGCAATATTCGATGCAAACGCTGACGTGCAGCAATACTTCCAGCACAGCTGATCAGTAACTGCTCAGGTTTTGTTCCTCGGATCATTATTTCATCCACGTTAGACCATTTCTGGAAAAAGAGATCTTGCAGCATTAAATGAGCATCAGAGTCATAATTTCACTTTAAGTGATTGGCCAACGACTGCCCATGCGAAGATGCGTTTTTTGCATAGTTTACCGCAGTTTTTGTCACTACCGGCACGGTTTTTTCGGCAAATGCTTCTAGCTAAACTAATTAAGACTGGCCGCCAGAACTACCAAAAAACATCCCCTTAAAATTTCAGTTTTCTAGTTTTCCTGGCTCCTGAGTTACTCGAAAAAACTTTCACGGGCCCGTACTTGGGTACCACGCATAACTGATGTCTGAATTTGAACTCGGAGACGTACGTAGACGGGGAACATCCTCTTAAAATTACAGTCTTCTAACTTTACAGGTTCTCGAGTTAGCAATTTGCCCGAAAAAAACTTTGGCGCGCCGGTACGTGGGTAACCACGTGTACGCGGGAGCTGGTTTGAAGTTCATTAAGACTTACTTGGATAGGGAACGCCCCCGTAAAATTTCAGCTTTCTAGCTTTTCTAATTCCCGAGTTAGCGACTTACTTGCAGAAAACTTTCACGGGCCCGTACGTGTGTACCACGCATACCCGAGAGCTGGGTTGAACTCACTAATACCTACTTGGACGGGAAACATCCCCTTAAAATTTCAGCCTTCCAGCTTCTCAGGTTCCCGAGCTAACAACTTATCCGAAAAAAATTTTGGCGGGTCCGTACGTGAGTACCACGCGGGAAAGAGCGCCCATTTCGTAGAAGGAGGCCCGTACACGCATGTAAATTAAATTTCCCAAGTTTCAGCCCCGTAGCTTTTGTGGGTCTCGAAATGAACCCAGGCTGGAACGCACCAGGCGGGCCGGTGCGATTATGCGTTTTTGCACTTTTCGTGCCGTGGCAAGACCGCAAGGAGTCAATGTAGCTAACCCTGTAAAATACTGGCCCTCGAAGTTCGGAAGTCAATTGTGCA